GATGCTAATTTTGTTAGAGGCCCACTCAACTTCAAGTCAGACGTAGAGCTGTGGAAGCTACTGTTTATATGTACTGTTTGCCGTATGTCACAGCTATGATTGACCTATTTGTTAGACTTAGCCTATCATCCTAATTGCATCTAGCTTAAGGTGCGAAACCTGAAGGTACATCTGGTTTTGCAGTTCTCCATATTTGCCTGTTCTTGTTGGTCCAGCTTTGAGAGTGAGGTGGACCAGGCGCTCTCCAGAGCTCCCTTCCAACCAAAGTTACTCTATGATTCTAGGGTAGGCATTTGGCACCTTAATCCCTTCTCTTGTGTAAACCTGTACTAGTGGTGCAAACAGGCTTGACAAGATAACGTGTTTATCAAAACACATCCAACACTCAGAGGAGGAGTTTAACTTCCCTCTGATGCATATTTCTGATTAAGCCCATCTCAACTTTTAATAAGTTTCAAAGTTCCATTCAACCTGTGAACTGGAAAACTATATTCTGAATGGTTACAGTAACCCAAGCTAAATTGCTCAGCTTGAATGAGATGACTGAAGAGCAGCCATCGGACAAAGCTCCCATTGACTTCACTGAGAACAGATTCCTGTCTGCAGGTGTGTCCTCTTCTGGAAATAACAATGATAGTAAAATAAAGCAATTCACCTTCGCCTTTAAACATGAGATTTACAGTGGCCAACAATTCCTATTAGCAACTAATGTGAATAAGTTGTGTAAATCACTTCTTTAATTCATAGGGGAAACAAATGTAATAACTTATAAAGCTTTTTGGAATTAACTAACTCTCCTTTTAAGTGTGGAATACTAGTATTAAGTAAGCTTGTGTAAATGATCTTTTTCTAAATGAAAATGCCTGTGAAGAAGCTGCACAAAGAAAAGAGTAGTTATGAATATGCTAAAATGTGTATGGGGAATATAGCTAGTGATAACTAAGCCAAATGGTGGCATTTGCACATGCAGTTCTTGAATTCTTCATAAAGGATCTCCTGATCCTTCCAGGGTACAGAAAACCTTTTTACAATTATTTACAATCCAGTAAAATACGTCTTAGGGGGATTTTCAGTGATGGAACATATGCGGCATAAGAGGAGATTGAAATCTTACTGAAGTCTAGATTTACTTGCATAGAAAGTATTGTAGATTACAGCCAATAGTGAGGAAATAATTTGAAAGATATTTTCATAGTTTGTTGCTGGGACTTGTTGAGTCACTGGGTGATGGCCCAACACCTATGTATTTATTATTTTGATGCAAATTTAACTCCCCAAAACAGATAAAGTGCGTGAAGAACCCTGGAGATCGAGTTCCATCTGATAGATGTTTCCATTAGTATTTTAGCAGTTTCCTGGGTTCAGTCCCATACGAAAAGGCTAAAGGCCAGTTCAGGTGCTGTGTTCTTAATGCAGGTGTCATTTAAATAGGGCATTAGACAAAATAAAATTATTTTAGATAGGTTATTTTAGATTTCAGAATGTCTGCTAGTATTAGCTTAATCTTATATTTATGTATTTAATTCACACATTACTACTTTCTTTTTTTGTCAGATATTAGCTATGAAGCACATCAAGGAAAATTTAATTCAGTTCCCTATATTTGTCTATTGCATTTCCATCCTAGAAAACAAAATAAAAAGGACAAAAATCTCCCTCTTAACCCGTATTGAACAGAGTTATATAAAATCATCTGTTCCAAGTATACTGGTTAATTTGAAGTGCTGTCATATCACAAGTTTCTCTAAATGTTTTTGTTTTTTCCAGGTGCACATCAAATGGTTTCCATGTAGTAACTGTTCCTTGGAGAATGGAAAAATTGTTCACAAATTAATTTTGTTCTCCCCTGTCTTTTTTCTCCTTTATTTCCCTAAGTGTATGTATTTATATTCGCTATCTTAACAAACCAATACAAATGGAATTCCAACAATTTTGATTACATCAGTTGTCACTGAGAAGTGAAACTGCAGAAACAGCTGTCAGTTCACGAAGGTTAGCTCAGTTGAATTAAGAAAATTTTCTCTAAATTGAAATTCAATTGTTTTTTTTAAATAGAATATTTACTTCCCTAAAAGAGAATAAACAGCTTTTAAAATCGCACTGAAACCTTTTCCATATCAATCATGTTTACTACATGAAATGTTTGAGTTCGACCTGCTTGCACTACACCATTGCATATACTTGCATTTTGATTCATAACAAAGTTTAAAACAACCCTATGATGTACAGTTAACATATTTTCCTCCCATCTTCCACATGACGAATTTTGATGCAGAAAGTAAATATTTCTCTGTTAAAAATAGTGAAACATTAAAGTGTACTGTTTAAAGCTGTAGAATATAAGGGTTTGCTTTACCAGATTGCCTGAATACTTCTAGTGTGGGCAACTGAAGGAGACCACGAAGAGCAGTAATTGACTTCCTTGACAAGTTCAGTTATTATTCCTTTATAGGTGAATCTTGGGGATAAATAGTTAAGTGGGTGGTGAATATGTTATGCACCAAAATGCGTGCCATTTTACAGTAGAATAAACAGCTACAGAAAAATACGATAAAAGTGCTCCAGGTGAAAAACCAGAAGCTGTCTACCTCAGCCTTTCTGTTTTAATTCACAGAGTCACAAATGATGTATTGTGGAATTCTCTTCACATTTTGTCCACAATAATGTTCTACATTGCAGGAACCACCTCATCTCTTGATTATTCCCCTTTTTTACTTGAGACTGAGTCTGCTGATGTTTTCTTACACTAAATCTTGTTAACTGTTAATAGATTCTGTTTTAAGTGTCATCCACTGTAGACACTTTGGGCTATACCTTGCAAAAATACAGTTTAGGAAGCAGTATGACTTGCACATACAAACAGAAACTTCTCAGGAGGCAGTATTATATAGACTCAGATAAAATCCTCTTTAATTTTGTTGCAATTACTGGAGCTACACCTGGATTTTACTTTTAAGTATACCAAAACACACAAAATACATCTGAAACATTAAAGGCTTGGATTAGTTTCAAGATTGATTTTGGGTCCCTAAATCCTTGGGAGAGTTTTGCAAGTATTTGCGATTACATGCAACCTATATTTAGTAGGTATTATTAAAGTTACATTCTCAGAATTGTTTAAGGAGTCACTTAATGTCTAAATTAATGAACTATGTTTTGAAATGTGAAATTACCAGCATAACTTTTCACATGGAGAAATGGCTTTCTGAAGTGGTGGGTTAAAAAAGGTACCTATCAAAATCTCCCTCTGCCATAATGTATTCTGCCATGCATAACTATCAGCAGGATATACACTGATAAGATAACTTGGGTTCCCCCCCGCTATGATCTTAGTGAAGTATTGTTAACTCTCTGAAGGCTGTGCAGATCTTCTCTAAATGTCTAAATATACTTATGGCAAATCTACTTTTTAGTATTCAAGCAAGAGGATTGAGGGTGTTGAAAGTCATCCTTAAAATCTCATCCAAATATCTCACAAAAGGATATCCTGGAAAGAATCTGGTTTACATTTTTAAAAGACTGGCATTGACATACTAGCTATATGTCCTCCCTTCCTCTTATTTATTTTTTCCCTAAGCAAAGCTGAAAACTCCAACCTGTGTTATTAGAAACACTTGTAACCAAAAACAATGACAAATATGTGCATTATGTGTGCTACGACAGAACATTATATTTTTTATATATATATATGCCTACCTCATTTATTATAGTTTTTTAGGACACTGACATATCAAATCGTACACTTATAAAAGAGCCAAATGCTAGACACTGAAAATCGTACATTGATACATTATAAAGCTATATTGTAAGCCCACTGCATGGGCCTCCCATGCACATAAAAGCTATAGGTACATAAATAATATAAAATGACAAAACTAGAAAGCAGTTTCTTCATACTTTATTTTACAATTTCTCACTAAATATATTTACAGGACACGGAGTTTGCTTTAGTGCAATACATAGTAATGTTGCGTAAGTACAAACTGTTGAACTTTTCTAAAAAAAATAAAGAAATAAAGCACTTAACTGATGTTACAGCTAAGTATGTAAAGCAACGTTAATAACTCTGAGTGAAAATGCTAACAGCATCTTTTCTTTTCATAAACAATTTCTAGAAACGAACCACAAACCGGCATTACATATTCCAAACTACTAACCCTTGTACAGTACCATTATCATTTAAAAAAATGATTTTTTAAAAGCACATATACTGTACTGTATGGCAGTCTTTTTCTACAGATACTGACTTACTCTTTTAATATAAATATGATATTACCTTGGCAGTTTTGAAGAACAAAGTTATCTCAAGATATCAAACTTCAGTAACAAACTCTGATAAGCACAGCTTCTTGAGAACTTGCTTTAACAGCATTTCTTCACAGTGATATTTATGAAAGGTTGGAAAAAGATTAGCATAAAATATTTCCATCCTTTTTCAGTTTTTATGCAAAAATCATTACTTTATATTGGTAATTATAAAATTACAAACACTTTCTATAAGTAACTGCATCTGTAGTAATGATAGAAAAAGTTATCAGTAAGATACCTAAAATGAGGCTTGCATAAAATGATAGTTTGAAGAAAACTAGGTACATCATTTTAAAAATAAATAGTAAGGGAGATAACTTAATTTAGAATAAGCAACAGAGTAGTTTAACAGAGGCAACCTATTAATCAATTAAAAAAGTTAATTATTTATTAATAAATGTTAAAAAATAAAGGAATTGTGATGAGGTGAAATCAAGATTTAAAAAGATATGATGAAACATTTAATCTTAGTTTTGGCACTTCATTGGAACAATTACTTTACCAAAGACCAAAATATGTATAAAAGATATACAGCTCCTTGACATACCTTACAAATATAGTACATATTACTGGCAAACACTGAAAACATAGTTAGTTAAACATTCCCACAGATTTGCACATGCATGCACTATTCGGACAACAGCATTGTATCTATGTTCTTGGCGGTGACAATCTTGCATTACTTGGGTATTTTAGGCTATTTCTTCAGCAGATCTTGTTTCTGATTTAAGCCTTACAAATTCTTTAGCAACTTCATCATTGGTCCTCTGAGAAAGTATTCTAAGAATTGTTAGCCCAGTTTCATCTACAGAGATGTTTCTCAACAAGGGGTACCAAGATGCACAGCTACCTTTCTCTGCTATGTTTTGCAGCTGAATAACTGTCATTCCTATAATGCGATCTTCCCTAGCAAAGCAGTAATCTTTCACTGAGAGGTGAAGTTCGTAGGCTCCTGGCTTATCTTCATTACTCAAAATGCTGCATGGATTAAAAATATGAATTTAGAACAAGGAGTTCAGTTTAATTCCCCTAAGGAATGAACGTACTCTAGAAATCTTGTAAAAATTAAAGTGATAGTGGTAGTTTAATTTTTGTAGTTCCATTTTGTTGCGACAGAATGTCATTTAGTTTTAAACCTTCTACACAGCTAACCTTTCAGATGCTACTGATGATGTAGCTTCTGTTCCCACTGACCTGAACAGAAACAGAAAATTCATCATTCCCTCAATATCTGAAATAAACACTGTTACCTTTCCCTAGAAAGTACCTAAAACGTTCAACTAGTTCCACAACTATCATAACAACATATTTAAATCAACTGCAAAAAATAAAGAAAATCACTGGCAGCAAGCCTCAAAAGGAGCTTTGGGTCAGACACTGAGAAGGAGAACTCTGTCCTAGTCAGAGTTGGCGAGTAAGGGGAGGAAAACTAATTGTTCTCAGTTATGAAAGGGGAGGAGGAGTAAACAGGTGAGAGGTGCTGTGAGAAGTACTAAATTTAAAACTCCAGGTTAGATGAAAGTTTCTTATTGCTTTAAGGATTAATAGAAATAAATAATACCATTAACACATGAACAACCCTTTAAATATTTAGATATCTCAACAGTCAAAAAGGCCCAGATATCTAGCAGTAATAATTAATGCTTCAGTCCAGATAACTACTTAGGCAAATAGATTCCTAGGTCTATAAACAGTTATTCCTGTGTAGG